AGAGCCCCTGATCCCCAAGGGAAAGTAGGTGAAGGGTGTGCATAGCCCTGCCCCTGCCCTCTAACTGGATGCTATCGTGGTCTTGCTCTATAGTAAAGACTTTCTCTTCTGTGATTGACTTCCTGATGGTTCTCCCTCATGTTCCGATTGGCCATATGCAAATAAGGAAGCCCTACTATGCTGTTCCTAGCAGCTTATCTAATGCCCGAGCTGTCTCTGTCTCCCTGCCTGTTTCTTGCTTGTAGAGTCCAGCCTTATAATGTGAGGGCTGAGAAGATAGCAGTGGTCCTTGGGAGGCATCAGGCAACTCTCTGATGCTGATGAATTAGGACTTAAAGTTAAAAGTCGTGTGTCCGCCCAACCTGTGCAGCCCAGAGTTGGCAATAAATATTCTTTTTGCTTGGTTGACTTGGATCATATTCCTATATCACCTCCGTACTTCCACACACCCCTGTCCTTTCCCAATTTTGTTGGGATTATCTGCCCAGTTGCATGTTCTTCTAAATGCTGAGCTTGTGAAGCCATCATATGTGGTGTTTGTTTTGCTTTTCTCTGCACCTCTGGTGCTATGGTAGCCATTGGTCAGGTTGGTACTGAGTAAATATGAGTTAAGCTAAGTTGCCTGCCAGGTGTGAAATTACACACACACACACACACACACACACACACACACACACACACACGAGGACAGAGTTAAAGGCCAAATTTTATTTTAGAACAAACACACCAGAATGCAGAAATCCATAATCAACATGTCTAATTCTAACTAGCCAGCAAAAAAGGAGTACATGAGAGGGACCTTTAGGGTAAAGTCTTTTCAGTGTCCAGACTGTTTGACAGTCGGTGTGGAGTGCCCTTTCCTTGAATGGGGGAGGAATTACAGAAGAATGTTTTCAACCTCGAGGAACTGAATGCACAGGTGGAAGGCTGTTACCATAGAAGGAGAAGAAGCCTGCAGGTAAATTGTTTTGTAGTTACATCACACATACAGGAGTCTTCCTCTTTTCCTTAGCTCTTTTAGATTTTTGCTGTTGTTTTGGTTTTTGATTTTTAAAGCATTTAGATTACTACCTCATGGGCACAGATAGCTGTCATGGTTCCGGATAGCAAACTCTCATTCTATCAGTTTAAAGAGATGGGCCACAGATTAGCCCGGGGAACAAGGGCTCATAAACACTTTCCATACGGACAGATCAGAATCTGGCCACACAGCTGTCCAGCAAAGGAAGCTGGGAATCTGGCTCACTCTGGCTGTAGAAGATGGGAAAGAAGAAAGAAAGGCTGAGGGACAGCTGCTACAGAAGTAACAAAGTTTCTCAGAGTTATCAAAATTCAGTTTGAGGTGGAGTAGGGAAGCAGGCAGTGAATCCCATAAATAACAAAAGCATACAGGGACGGGAGGGGGGACTGGAGAGATGGCTCAGAGGTTAAGAGCACTGATGGCTCTTCCAGAGGTCCTGAGTTCAATTCCCAGCAACCACATGGTGGCTCACAACCATCTGTAATGAGATCTGGCACCCTCTTCTGGTGTGTGGGCACACATGGAAGCAGAATGTTGTATACATAATAAATAAATAAATCTTTAAAAAAAAACAATAGCATACTGGGTACCAACTATTTACATGCTTTCTAATAAATCTCTGGTAAGTCCTGCTCTCATCCATCTCAGCATCACTGGACAGCAACAATGTGAGCCTCCTTTTCCCCACATTGAGAAAACTGAGATCAGGAATGGTTAAATTTTACTCACTCCAGGTGAAACCCTTCACGCGTTTAAAGGAAGCTCCTTAACCCCAGGGAGAAGCTATGGAGAATGCAGAGAGGACTCTCAGCCCTGGCTCAGATCCAAGGCAGAGGTGAACCATCATATTCTGCTTTCCTGTCTCCTGTGCCCGGAGCCATCAGAGTGCTAGAACAGCTCGTAGGAACTCGTATACTCCAGGGCCGGCGCCATGGCTCAGTGATGGCTTAGCCAGTAAACGCACTTGTTACCAAGTCTGCTGACCTGGGTGGGATCCCTAGAACCTCCACCATGTTAGGAGAGAGCTGATCCCAGCAAGTTGTTCTCTGGCCTGGACATATAGGCAGTGGGGTGTGCAAGCCCATACACACAAATAAACACAATAATTGTAACAATTGGAAAAAGATTATACTCCCAAGGGACTTCCATCTACCCCACACCTACTGCCACCTTCTCTCTGCTGTGGGGCTAATAAAGCCAGAGCTGGAACTCTGACAACTCTAACAGTTAGGCTGGGCCTCCTGTCTTCAACACACCGACGAAATAGATGAGAAATGGTAAAAGCATAAAAGGGGGGGCGGGGGTTCCGTGTAGCCACATTGGGAAGAACAAATCAAGAGGTTCAGGGACACACTCGAGTCTGTCCTCCTGGCCCTGAGACTTAGGTGTAAGTAGAGGATGAGAAGTACTTCTCCCTGAGCAATCCTGTCCAGCTGCGGCCACACCCATCACTGACCCATCATTGTCCTAGCTCCACTCTGGCCTGCAGGACATGATGACTGGTCAGGACTGTGTGACATTCCTTCCTGGGAGACAAGCTCCCCTTGGGCTGGCACTAGGCTTCAGCACCTCCACCCCACCCCCACCACCACCATGAGATTCCTGGGGAATTCCCAATTCCTCGGGATCCATTGTTCCTCGGGATCAATAGTACCCGAGCAGAAAGGAGGGTCACAGGTGAGTCTCTTCAGAAAATCTCGGCTCTGGACGATTACAATAGTAACTACTCGGTACCCTTGTCATAGTTAATCTTAACACCATTGGGTAGCCATTATTGTCAGCCCTTTGTCCCATTCCCCTCCACCTTTAAGGAAGCTGAGGTTCTAAAAGGTTTTCACAAATAAATGCATGACTTTTTCCCTGTACCAATTTTTTTCTTGCTTTGTTTTTGTTGTGCTGTTGGTTGCTGTTGTTTATGAGGCAGGCAGGACCTCACTGTGTCACACTGGATGGCCTGCAAGTCCCTACGTAGACTCACAGAGATCCCCCTGCCTCTGCCTCCCCTCTGGTTGTAGTGGCATTTCATTTGTATTTTAATAAATAAAGCTTGCCTGAAGATCTGAGAGTAAAACAGCCCCACTCGTCAGCTTTACAGACCAGGCCCGTGGCAACACACACCTTTAATCCCAGTAGCCACACTAGTTGCCATAGAAACCAGGCATTGCATGCTGTTAATCCCAACCTTAAAGAGGAATATAAGTGGGAGGAGACAACTCCTAAACTCAGTCTCATTCTGAGATTCCTGGAGGCAGGATGGCCATTACGAACTGAGGTCAAGGTAAGAGCCAATGGCTGGCTGCTTTGCTTTTTAGATCTTCAGGTTGAACCCCAATCTCTGTCTCTGGGTTTTTACTAATAATGCTACATCTGGTGCCATGGCTTTAGCCTCTCTATCTCTCATCATAACGGACTGCTGAAATGGCAGATGTGAAGGCGCAAACTCACAATCCGAGAGCTGGGGAGTCAGAGATGGTCAGATCCCAGTGGCTCACTAGCCAGCCCACCTACCCTTAGGAAACAAGCCCCAGGCAAATGAGATACCCTGTCTCATAAAACCAAAGTTCACACGCTGCCTGAAGAAAGTCAAGTTCATCCTCTGACCTCCACATATATGTGATGCACCTGCACATGCATGAACATGCATCCACATGCATAAATAATAAATAAATAGATGATACTTCATAAGAAAACAAGTTCATTTAAACCACTGTACCTGTGGTCCTGGTCAACCCTGTGGACCTCTATTGCAGGATATCCCTCAGGTAAACTTGGGGGTAGCTAACCAATGCTTTCAGCCTCCTACTTCACCCATAAATATGAACTCCCCTATTCAAATGTGTGCTCCATGACCTTGAGCTGGCAGACGTGTGAGTGGACAATCAAGTCTGCGAATGAGTCAGCATCAAAGCCGATAGATCATTTGGGTCAACTGGTAGCTGACCTCAGATACAAGGCCAGAGGGTTGAAGCTTCACCTCACCAGAATATCAGAAAAAAAACAACACAGCCTTGTATGCTAAATGAATGGCTGTGGGTTTTAGCAACCATGTCTGAAAATTCTTTGTTTCAAGCTCACAAAACCTTGGTTTGTACACAGTAGTGGGGACACCTTACCAAGGAAGCTACAGAGCCCAGTCCTGCTCCTTCCCCTCTGCCCTTATTCTAGAGGTCAGTCACTTGACCACAAAGATGAGAAAGGACCAACCATGGCCCCACACATGAGCAGGACTCTCATTCCAGTCCCCAAAAATATTGACACACCAAACCACCAACCTGAGACGGGCCTGGCTTTACCAGGAAGTGACTATTGTGTAGCCCAGGATTAGAACACGGCAAAGGAATGTTCGGTGAAGAAAACAGTACCAGGAAGGCTCTTGAGTCATTCCAAAGGAACGAAGCCAGTCTGTCCAGAGTGGCAGGACCTCGGTGAGGACACTGGTCTGCTTTTCTGATTAGTGATTAGCACTTCTCAGCCGCCACACTCCTCTGAAACCAAGCCCCGCCCTCTGCCCAAAGCTTCTGCTTTCCCTGCCGGTCATCCCCTTAAGCTAAGGAGAACTTCTGATGGCCCTGGAAAGAGGAATGGTTTATCCTGTCAGCCTCTCCGTGGCCTTCTTCACAGCTGCTGTCACACACCCCAGTCAGTAGCCCAGGGTACACGTCCTGGAGTCAGCAGGGCAGACAAGCCTTATCTTTGTTAGAACCCTTCCTGTATTCATTTTTCGAAAAACTTCTAGCAAGCTGGCCTACTGGTGGACTCCAGAAATAAAATGATGGAGAGACACAGGATGCAACCTCCAGAAGGACAGACCCCGCCCCCGCCCGCCCCGAGGGGCAGAGAATCTTCTTCCCAAGCCTGGGCTTGGGACTTGGGCTGCTGGGATTTGAGCTTTCAGGTGTGAGAGCCCAACAGAAAGCTGAGCTCAGGAACATCCATAAACGGGATCTTCTTCAGAAAGATGAGACTCACTCACAACTAATAACAATGTCAGAATACTTTGCTTTATTTATTCTTTTCTATTACCTTTCGGTGATAAAAATCTGTGCAGCAAAATTTACCGTCTTAGCCATTGTAAAAGCACAGTTCAAGGACGGTGTTCATTCGTGTCGCTGGATGCCCAACATCACCTTCCATCCCTCTTCCCCTGGTCCCCAGCAACCACCATTATGTTCAAGTCTCTGTGGTCTAACTGCCCTACATAGCTGAGATAAATAGCCTCGGTCGCTATCTGTGCTTTCGTGCCTAGTTAACTTCAACAAACACAACTTCAAGTTTCACCCATGTTATAGCAGTTTCCAGAATCCCCTTCTTGTTAACGACGGCACCTGTATAGACCACATCTTGTTTGTCCATCCATCCAACCATCCGTCCGTCTGTCTGTCAGCATTTAGGTGATGTCTATGCTGTAGCTACTGTGAGCCATGCCGCTGTGCAGACATGTGTGCACATACCTCTTCTGGCTCCTGCTGTTGTCTCTGAGATACATCCATACCCAAAAGTCAAATTTCTGGATCAATTCTGTTTTGATTTTCTTCTTTTGAGACCCAAAGCCCTATTTTCTACAGTGGCTACACGATTTTACCAGCCCACCAGGCAGCACACAAAGGGTCTGATTCCTCTGGGTCTTCATTAACACTTTTTTATCCTCTGATTTTTGCTATTGCTGTTGTTGTAATAATGAATATCCGAATGGGTTTGAAATGGTAGTCCATAGAGTTTTATTTTTTCATTCTGCACATGATTAGTTATGTCTGGGCTATTAATAGTCCTACCCATATGGCTTTGGTTCTTCATTCTGCACATGATTAGTTATGTCTGGATTATTGTCCTCTCCCTTCTTGGTCATTTGTAGATGTGGCCCTTTCTCTGAGGAGAAACGTCTGTCTGGGTTCCCTGGTTTGGCCTTCTGTGACCACATAATTTTCCCATATTTCCTGTCAGGCTCTTCCACAGTCCCACGGGGTCATTAGTCATTTAAATTTGCTAGAAGCAAGTAAGGAATGTTAGTCTAATGTTTCAGCTGATGAAGTTGAGTCTTTTTAAATGATTTGTCCCAGTGTGCACCCAGGGAGGGCAGAGAAGGATCTGAGGCAGGCTTGGCCTGGGTCTAAACGACCCAGCAGTTCAGACAACAGGTTCTTGGAGAAGGAGAGTCGGGGAGTCGGGCTGTGTTATGTTTGTGAACTTCTAGACCTCTCTGGGAATTGTGCCATGGTTAGAGATAGGGAAGGATGGAAGAGACGGATAAAGAGCCTCTCCAAATCCCATCTTGCTAGGATCCCCTTCATTTACTTCTCCCTCTCCTTCACTGAACCCCATTACCCCCCTCCCCTCCCAAAGACATACCAAGACAAAGACTGGGAGTTAGTCCAGCTCAGCCTGGGTACTTCTGGGAAGGGTCATAGGCCTGCCTCTTGCATGTGGTCTATTGTGGCCAGCTGTACTGGGCACTGAGCGGCTACCTCCTCCCAGGTCATCCAAAGGTTCAAGCAGGGATAAGAGGCCTGCCCTGCACTCTGCCAGTTCAGTCTCTCAGCCCTGCATCTAGGATTAGTCCAGGCTCCTCACTGGCTCTCTGGTTTCAAAACAAAACAAAACTTTGAAAGAAAGCTGCTTTCAGTGGAAAATCCCCGCTTAAGAGGCCCCTGGGAGCATTTGGGTTGCCCGGTCCCTCAAGCCTCAGCTGTGCATGACCTGGGACCAAAACAGGCTTTTAATGTCAAACGCAATCACGGTAAGGACACCTGGGTTTAGACTGCGTTATTAACCTTTCTAAGGTTCTCATCTGGGCTTGATTCAGCCTCAGTCAACTTTATAAAACGGGCAGAACAAGGGGACTTCAGACAACCTCGTGATTCGTCACAGACGGCAAGATTGACAGTCAGAGGCGGGAAGAGAGGACGCAGAACTGAACTGAGGTCCTGAGTCAAAGTTCAATCCGTTCCGTAGCACCAATGCCCCCCGAATGCCAACTGCATGCCAGGCTCAGAGTCTGTAACACCACCTCCCAACTTGAGGGTAAAATCCCCACGTAAGCATGTTTTAGAGATATGCAAATAGACATGGGGTGGGATGTGAGTCATCCTGGCTGCCTTGGATAGCTGAACTCCCTGAGACTCAGTTTCCCTGTCTAACAAGATAGCACATGGCTTGTCGTGCCATGATTGGCACCCAGTGAGCACTCACTCTGTGAGTGCTTTACCTCCACAGCATCTTCTGTGACACGCTTGGCTTTGATCTCCTTCTTTTTTAAATCTTAAACACCTTACCACTTCACATTCAACGGAGTATAAAAGATTCTGAGTACTTTAAGATTTATAAAATGTAAGAGGTTTTTTTTTTTTAATTAACTCTTCCCTTTAAAAAGATCAGAACTGAATGGAGTTGGGGAGATGGCTCAGCAGTTAAGACCACTGGCCCCTCTTCCAAGGGACCAGAGTTCAATTTCCAGCACCCCCTTGGCAGCTAATACCCATCAGTAACTCCATTTCTAAGGGATCTGATGCCCTCAAACAAATATGGAGGGAAAATACAAAAGATAAAAATAAATCAGTCTCTGGGACTGGAGAGACGGCTCAGTGGTTAAGAACACTGGCTGCTCTTCCAGAGGTCCTGAGTTCAATTCCCAGCAACCACATGGTGGCTCACAACCATCTATAGTGGAATCTGATGCCCTCTTCTGGCCTGCAGACCATGCAGGCAGAACACTGTATAAGTAACAAATAAATATCTTTTTTTAAAAAAAAAAAAAAAAAAGATCAGAATTGATAATCCCAACACTTGGAAACGGAGTTTGATGGCACAGAAACTGAGGGAGCTGAGAAGTCCCGTAGAACGTAGTCTGTATCCTCTGCTTAGATACCTTTTTCCTTCACGGCGTTGACTAGTGGCGCCCATTAGCTCCGGGAGAATCTAACTTATTTAACACACTTTCGGAGCTGTTCGTTTTCTAGGAATAGTCACAGCAGTCTCTGGTTGTTCCTAGGTGCTTCAGCAAGCCCATGTCTGCTCACACACGCACAAGAACCATTTTATCCTCAGGAAGAAGGGGCATAGGGCAGACCGTACACAGGCATTCCGGCACGCACGCATGCGCGCGTGACACATCAGGCGCCCATAGCTTACCCTCACTAAATCAGCCCCCTCTCCCTACCCCCACTCCCTTCTTGACTCTCTCACCCCTCTGCAGCCAGCCTGTCTCTCCCTGTGAGTGCCACTGAATCCAACACGAGGCAGGGTTCACTCTTAGGAAATCTGCACGGAGACTCCACCAGCCTTATCCCCTCAAGGTTTCTCACCCGTGTCCGTGGCATGCTGTAGACAACGCTGACCGGAAGGCTTCACTGGCAGTCATGTGACCCGGACGGCCTCACCTGGAGGAGAAGCTGCCTTCTCATTCCTGTATCTACAAGCTGGTGTCTCCCTGAACAAATCCTCAGCACGCCCCGACTTTTCAGACATCAACGAGGAGTTGAGCAAGGTGTACCCAAGGGCTAACACCAGTCCTCCACAAAACAACCAGACTTCATCATTTCCTGAAGATCGAGGTTTGGAAGTCCAGCTGGCTGGCTAGGAACTCTGGCTCCCCCACTTTCTGTGTGATGGCAAGAACATTACCTGACCCCTCTGTTCTCCAGTTCCTTCATCTGTCAAACAAGATTAAGTCATAAAGGTTATTTTGAATGATGAAGTGATTTAAATAATACCTGGCACACTCTAGACTTGCTAAATGTTAGTTAGAGGCGGTCCAGGCAGAGATGGCCCCTCCCCCACAAAGCCTCTTCCTACCTCCACCCTCCCATCCCTTTCACTCTCCCTTCTGGCCTCTGAGTCTGAGTCCCTCAAAGAGGGGTCCTCTTGGAGTGTGGATACAGGCTGCCCTGACTAAGGCAGGAGAGGCTGACCTCACCAAGCCGGACAGGCTCATGTGACCCACTGATTCCACGAAAGGTCGAAGACCGCAGTGGGGTCACCAGAGCCATTCAGGGACACCTGACACTGTGTTTGTCCCGGGCTTTTGAGACTCTGAGCCTGTGTGGAGGAGGGGTCTGTCTGCTCCACTGGGTCAGCCCCCACACCGGGACCCACAAAGACCGAAGCTGTCCAGAGCTGCCCCACAGGGCCTCGGACCATGGATCTCTTTTCTCACATCTGGCCAGAAAGGAGCTGCAGATAGGGCAAGCTGCAGCTACTGAGCTGGGATTCTACCCATTGCAGGACCAAAAGTAAACAGTTGGGAAGGAAGCTGCTGAGCTCCAAAGGGTCTCCACCAATGTGCTCTTGCCATGTCTGCATATCCTGACCTCCCCATCTCTGGGCTACTGGGAGGGCTGAAGAAAACACTGTGCAGAAAACTCTCTGGAAGTTTCCACCATTGGGACTGTCAATTACTCCTCTCTCTCTCTCTCTCTCTCTCTCTCTCTCTCTCTGTGTGTGTGTGTGTGTGTGTGTGTGTGTGTGTGTGTGAGAGAGAGAGAGAGAGAGAGAGAGAGAGAGAGAGAGAGAGTGTGTGTGTGAGAGAGAGAGAGAGAGAGAGAGAGAGCGATGGTAGAGGCCACAGGACAACCTCCACTGTCACACTTCGGGAACCATATGTACATCTTGTGTTTTAAGGCAGACTCTCTCTAGCCTGGAACTCACCAAGTAAGCTAGGCTAGAAGGGCAGTCAGTCCCTGGGACCTCCTGTCTCCATCTCCCAGCTCCAGGATTACAAGCAAGCACCACCACCTCTCACCTTCTTGTTTTTGTTCTAGGGATCAAATTCTGGTCTCTCTGTTTGCAGAACAAGCACTTTAACTTCTGAGTAGCCACCTCAACCCTCCTTTATTCTGCAGAGCACTCCTCTGAAGCAGAAAATCTCCCGTTTTCCCAGTGTTCCAGAAACCAGAGGGACGCAGAACGCATGGCTTTTAGAGCTGGGTTCACACACAGCTCTGACACCAGTGACCATGCGGCTGAAGCGTCACCTCCTGTTCTGAGGTGTCAGATGGTCCCTGTCCTCATTGCTCCCTGATAGAGACAAGGTGAAGTGGCTCCTTCGTCAGGGATGGGACAGGCACAGAGGAAAAGGTGAAGGATGCTGTGGACAGGAACCACCACTGCATCTACCCTCCCAACAGGAGTTCCCAGGGAATAAATCCCAAACAGGTGAACACTGCACAGCTGTGCTGATTTAACCTGTAATTTACTAAAGTTAAACAAAATAAACAATTCCACTCTACACTCACACAAGCCAAGTGCAACAGGTACAGCTGGCAGCCTCCTCGCTGGATGGCGCAAGGGCAGTGTCCCTTTGTCACAGATGTTCCTGTTGGAGGGCACTACCTGAGGTCACCTACCCTGTGATCTGCGCGATTGGATGCCAGCAGGCATCTCTGAGGAAACGTCATTTGAGGCAGAGATAAAGAATGGGGGACACTTGGGGAAAAGCTCAGGAGGTGGGGAGCAGGAGCACACAGCTCAGAAGGGGACCTCAGCACTTGAAGGCAGGGTGAAGGACAAAGTCTCTGAGGGACTGGCTGCCTGGCTGTGAATCCCAGTCCCCACTCATCTTCGCCATATCTTCTCGGACAAGTGATGGGACTCGTCCGTCCCTCAGTTTCCTCCCCTGTAAGAGGGACAAGAACGGTACCTTCTCTTGACATTGTTATAGAGAACGGAAGGGTTTGAGAGGAGGTTATCTCATGATGTACATTTGCTATGCCTGTAAGAAACAAGATGAAGTCAGAGAGGCAGGCATGAGTTAGGTGGCCTGTGGACCATGGACGTGTTGTCTGTTTTCATCCCAAAAGCTGTAGGAAGGCTAAGAGTTCAAGCGTGGTGGTGAACATTGGGCAGAATATGAGCAAGCCCCAGCAGCAAGCTGCAAGCCCAGTCTGAAGGCTCGGCTGTGACCACAGCAGCACCAGGCCTCCCATTTTAGCCAGAAATCCACTCTTCTAATACTTTAAAGTGGGCCTAATATTCCCAATGTTTTTAAATATCTTGAGGAACATACCAACTACCTTCTCAGACATCTGATCTACCCCTATAATCTGTATCTCCCAACCTTAATAAACCAATGTCTGTAACTAAAGCCACATCACCTGATAAGTCAGGTATCTCTGAGGGAAAGGGCAACAGATTTTGTGGAACATAGGTAGTATATCAAATAAAACAAAATCACCACATTAAATCTGAACCAAACCCTACCCAACTGGCTGGAGGCAAAGAGGTTCAGACTTGAAAGGAGGAACATACTTGGATTTTTATTTCAAAATATTGGGTGGGGTAAAAAGAAAATACATGAAAACTAAGATTAATTTTGCTGTGGGGTTGTTAAATGAGTCGTATTCTCTTGTTCTTTCTTGGATCTGCCAAGCTTTTCACCACCACTACCCCAAAATAGGTGGCAGGTATACTTTTAGGAGTCAGTGGCCCGCATCACATCATTGTAACATTGTAACATTTTGTAACATTGGTACTATGTTACAAAGCAAAATTGTTCAGCTGAGACAAAGAAGTGGTTGAAAAAGTGGGACAGGATAAGAGGAAGGACAGATTTGCTGGTTGAGAAGACTGATGGGGGACCTGGGCTATAACTTCCTGGTCGTGTATATTTTCTTATTTTCGTTTCTTCAGATGAGGAGAGCAAGACTCTAACAGGAAATCTCAATTTGGACCATATGCTTCATCCTGTCCCTCCTAGGAACTACGTCTGCCAGAGTCTGAAGCCAAGGATACAGAAATACGTTCATTCATAGACATTAGGAAACATCTACCTTCTCCAAATCCTGTGCAAAAAAATATGGAACTGCCAGGCGGTGGTGGCGCACACCTTTAATCCCAGCACTCGGGAGGCAGAGGCAGGCGGATCTCTGTGAGTTCGAGGCCAGCCTGGTCTACAAGAGCTAGTTCCAGGACAGGCTCCAAAGCTACAGAGAAACCTTGTCTTGAAAAACCAAATACATATATATGGAACTGAAAGATGAGCAGCATCCGGTTCCCACGTAGCTTATTCAGAACTCACTCAGCACAAGCTGTGGGTGCTCTCCTCATGTTCCTGGACCACAGTGATCTGTGTCACGAGCTAGCTAGCACAAGCTCGCGTGGAACAGATAGTTCCAATGGCCGAGTCTCATGATGGTGGTTAGAAAGGGACAGCTGAGAACAGGTGGGGACTATAAGCCACATTTTCAACTAGTTACCCTGTATCAGATGAGAACAAACTCTCATCAGGTTGACTTTCCCCCTTACCTGACCGCTTGGGGAAAGCAGAGACCTGTAGGGAGTTAGGATGTGTTGGTCTACAGCATCTTCTTTGGGGTTGTAGAGAAATGTACAGTTGGTCTACAGCAGTGCCTGAGGTCAGGCTCCGTTTCTTCTGAATGTCACTGTGTCTGCAGTTCAATCGTGGGAGCACACAGGAGTCCGAGATGGTCTCGGAGAAGCCCAGACATGGTTCTGTAGTCAATTATTGAGGGAGAGTAAAAACAAGGTCAACTCCCTGACGGCAAGGCCCACGAAAGGCGGCAAAATACCACAGAACCACCCCCTCTCCACCCGTTCTTGGTAGCCTCAAGGACACACTTCTAAAAATAGATAAACAATACTACTGAGATCTGTTGAAGATTTCACAACTGCTGGCCCAGCACCGACTGTTTAGCTTTGGCCAAGTCAAGATGCAATGGAAACCAGTCAGGACGCTGAGTATGACCAAGGTCAGCATCCTTCTGCCCGTGGCCTTGACCGCAGAAATGTGGAGACCTACAGCCTCAGGTCCTTGTTTTCCTTGTTCTGCACCTCGCAGAGAGCTCTCCTCAAACACCAGTGCCTGTCCAAGACTTCATTTCAGGGACGGGGGAGGCGGTACCAGTGAAATGCCTTGAGAACTAGAAAATTAATGAACAGTGTCCATGATTCCAGTATAAGTGGGAGTAGGATTGGATAAGAAAACAGTTTAAAGAGAAAGTAATTACAAACACATGAGAGGGAGGATAAGCGTGGCCTCAGCTAGAACTGTGTAATAGCAAATATATATATATATAAAATCTGGCACTCCTTCTGAGGGTTTAAAACCCATTTTAAAGCTAACAGGTGACAAATGCCTACTTTTATGACTGATGTGAATAGGCCAAAACTTTTCTCAAGCTTTTGGTGCATCCTGTAAGTTCATCCTATGGGGCTAAAATCGCTGCCCACCCCCCTCTGGCAGATAAGGAACATGATTTGGACCCTTGAAGCTAGAGCAGAACTTATGAATCACCCACCGAGAGGTTCCTTGCCTGACCTGCTGCCGTGGTTAACTTTGTCAACTAGATTAGATTGAGAGACAGTGAGCTTGCGAGTGGACTGGAATCAGCGAAGGCCAGCTTGTTTTCTCCTCAGTGCCTCTTCAAAACAGCTCCGTCTTCCTGGTCCTGGAGATCTTAGTGCTCTTCGGTGATCGGTATCTGCTTTCATCCTCCTGAGGCATTAAATAACAGTCTCGTTCTTTGGATAATAAAGAGTGTGTCTGCAAGGACTTCTCCAAAGTTAGTCGGCATTGAGGACAGCCACTGTATGGAAAAGAGCATCTCCAGATGTGGGTGACACCATACAATGGGCTGGGAGTCTAGCTGGAACAGAATCAGGAGAAGCAAGAAACCCCCTGCTAAGCTTGCTTTCTACCCATCTGCTTCCTGGTCAGCATAAGGGGACCAGCTTTATTTCACCGCAGCCTTCTGCCCCAATGACCCACTGGAGTCAGCTGATGTGGATGGAAACCTGCTGGGGACAATGGTCTGTACCCTGTCAATTGTATTTTAATAAATGCTGATTGGCCAGTAGCCAGGCAAGAAGTAGAGGCAGGGTGATGAGAACAGGAGAATTCTGGGAAGAGGAAAGCTCATTTTCCACAGTCGTGACCCAGCCAAGAAGAAGCAAGATGTGACTGCCTCGGTGAATGAGGTACCGAGCCACGTGGCTAACACAGACAAGATTAATGGACTAATATAAGTTATAAGAGTAAATAACGGGGCTGGAGAGATGGCCCAGAGGTTAGGAGCACTGCCTGCTCTTCCAGATGTC